GCTGATAAAATATCAAGGCCGAACTAGGCTGCCAAAATGAAGGAAGACAAAAATGATTGTCTGCCCTTTACTTGGAGAACCCTAAAAAGTCCCCACCTAAAAACCCAGATCCCTGGCTCTAGCCACATTCTTGATGTGGTCCAGGTGGTCTGTGGGAAGCAGAAGTGTGGGCGACCCCTTGCAGTTCCTTCATGGCATCAGAGCCACGGTTGTTGGTTTTCGATCAGGTGATCGGTTGGGGACACAGAGAGAAGCAAGGTGTGTGCAACGTTTGAAACTGAGGGCTAAAGCTCTGAGGCCATTTAATGCTGACTGGCTTTTGTAGCCCTTTTTATTGGGTTAATGATGAAAACATCCAGCATACATCAGAGTACAGAAGATCAAACTACGGAAGATCAAAACACCTTAGAGTACACATTTTGTAGCATAACGATGTACAAAGTTCCTGAGGAAGTAAATCAGACCACCTTGTACATCTTTACGTCCCACTTCCCAAATATTCCACATCAACATCGATGCAAGCCTACACCATAACCCAAGAAGGTATCTATTGAACTTTTATTCAATCAAAGCACAGTTAATCTAACAGAAAGCGGCTGCATTGGGACATGCTGACCCAACCCAGTTCAGTCAGACTTCCTAGCTGCTTGCAGCTACGACATGAACTTGTCTGCAAGGCAGCGTTCCCAGAACTTCCGCATGGCACTGGTCGGGTACCAACATGTGCTGATGTCTATTTCAAGGAAGGTACTCAGGGCAGGTCGGGGTGGAGACTTGTGCAAGATGAGATACTGAGATTGGTTATGTGTCCATGGGCACAATCATGAGTCCAGCCCTCACGGGTCATGGTGGTCAGGACACAATAAATACAAGACTCAACAAGGCCTCAGCAAACTGTCATGAGATACTTGATCAAAGACAGTTGATTGTGGGGCTGATACGATAATCTGCCGGGTAGAGTCCTTGCTTTGCAGTGGCTCCGCATACGGACCCCCAAGCCCTACCAGGCGTGATCCCTGAGAGAGCCAGAAGTAAGCCTTGAGCACCCCTACAGGTAGCCCCAAAACCAAAATAAAAACAACAAAAATCGTTGATCACAAGTCAGTTGTGTTGTTTCATACTCAAATGGTGCTCGCCAATAAAGAGCACAGGGTGCACCTTGGCCCGACAGGAGCTGAGGAAACGGTGCCCATCACCAGCCACACGGAGGCCAAGGTCTGACCCTGAGGACCCTGGGCACTGCTAGCACTCCCTTCCCCAGGCAGCTTGGAGCCTGTGTGCTGAGGGTCCGGGATGCCCCCTCACCCTCCTCCTAACAGGTCTCTACCGCTCTGCGTCGGTAACACTGTGGACTCAGCCCTCCCCGTCCCCGGAGTCCTTCGGCCCCTGCACGGGGGTCTTATCTCCAACTGGTTCCAGGGACACCCACTCCCTGTTGCTCCTGAGGCCATGGCCGGCTGCTTGGACAGTGGACAGGACCCCCAGCCTCCATGAGCCAGCTCGCTCTTGGCCCCTTCCGGCTTCGTCTGCTGCCCGGACATGGTCCCCAGGGGGACTCCGCTGGGCTCTGCCTTCTCTCGATGGTGGGGAGCCCACGGCAGCCACGGTGCTGGGGCTCCTGTGTCGGGAGTAGGGGGCCGGATCTGGACACCCGGGGGCGGCCCTCTGCCCTTCAGGGGGACAGCACTGAGGCTGGCCAGGCTCTGCGGGAGGCCCGGCCCGCACAGGCCTGTCCTTGGGCTTCCTCCAGACAAGCCCAGTGGGCCGGGCAGAGACTCGCAGACGCGTCTCCATGGCCACAACGCCGCGGTCCAATCGCGAGAGCAGCCTGGCCGGAAGGGGCGGTCCCGGAAGGGGTGGTGCCGGAAGGGGCGGTCCCGGAAGTAGAGGCTGAGCGGGACTCCGCCTGCCCGCTGCCCGCAGAGCCCTGACCATGGACCATAAAAGGCCACTGCCCGACCCCTGCCACCAGCCTCCCTGCCGCCTGCAGCCCCGGACTGTCCGCCGCCCGCACTCCGGCCATGGACACGAACAGCCGCAGCCCGACCCCTGCCCCAGGCCTCGGCCAGGACTTTCCAGCGTCCGAGAGCGCCAGGCTCTGGCCACCCGGTGATGCGCTGCCCCCTGCCCTGTCCTGCCCGCCCCCGGCCCTGCCCCTGCCTCCGGGCTTCCGTTTCCCATCCTCCTGGCCGTCAGGTCCCTCGCCCGCGCGGCCCTCCCCCTGGTCATCCTGGCAGCGGGGCAGCCCCTGAGGGATGCTCCCAGCCGCAGGCGGGTCATCGGGGCCTCTCCTCGAGCAGCGAGCCTGGCCGTGGCTGCTGGCCAGGCCTGAAGCGCAGAGCCGGGCGCTCCCGTCCCTTTGGTTCTCCCTGGGCCACACCTGGCGGGTCCTGGCCCTCCCGGACCGGTGGTTCCCTGGGGCCCCTCTCGAGGTTCCGAGGGTCGAACTCGGGCGTCACAGACGCTGACACGCGCTCTGCCCCTGGTCGCGGGTCGGAGGGGAGTCCAGGAGTAGCCGGCCCATAGGTCACACGGACAGGGGAGTGCTCACTGGGACCATGGTGGCCCGATTGCTGACCCCTGATGGTCAGCGGTCATCCCGTGGCTTGAGAGAAGTGGGCTTCAGAGGACACCGGTTCCTGGGAGCCAGAGTGCATCTTCCTGGCCCAGCAAGGGAGGGAAGGGCCTCCCTGGAGGCCAACAGCTGCAGCTCTGAGAGCGGCTCCTCAGAGGTTCTGCTCAGGCATCCAACTGCACTCACACTTCCTGACTCTCACCTTTTCTGTCTTTGCAGGCATCCAGGACCTGCTGAAGGTATGTCCCCCCCAATTGGCCCTACCCAGCCCTGCCACTGCCATGGGGGACGGTGCTCAGCCCTCTGCTGCCTGCCAGGCTTTTCTTGTAGGCTGAGCCCCAATGGTCACTCAGCTGTGGGGAGAACTTACACGTCACTGGGAGGGACAGCCCAGTATTCTCCACACCTCTTCTGGACCAAGAGGCCTCTGTCAGGCCTGCTGTGCTGGCCAGGGGTTTCTGAGTGAACTTGGCTTTGAGCACTGCCAGAGAGGACCCTAAAAAATTAAGATAAAAAAATTAAGAGTAGAGTGACAGCCCAACAGGTATGGCATTTACCTTGCAGGTGGCCAACCCAGGTTTGATCCCCAGCACATCATATGGTTCCCCGAGAATGCCAGGAGGAATCCCTGAGTGCAGCTGGTGTGACCCGAAAACCAAAATGAAAAGATTAAAACCACAGAACAACTTATGGCAGCTCAGCGCACCTCCATCATGTGTGGGTGGGGGCAGGGTTCCCGTGGAGTGCTCCTCCCACCTTTGGGGGCATCTGATGGAGAGGGAACAGGTATCCAAGCACCCCAGGGATCCCGATTCCAGTGCAGATGCTCTCTAAGAATCTCATCAGTAGGCCAGGTGGTTACTAGGTGGCCTTTTCCCGTGGAAGGGTTCTGTGCAGGTGTCTGGGAAAGGACAGATGCAATAGAAAACCCCTCTTGGCTAGCCGCTTGGCCCTGACAACGCCACCACCTCTGCTGAGGCTGGGGTGGCAGGGCGGGTGACTCTGCACGCCTCATCTGCTGCCTCTTCTCAGGTTGCCGCAGAGAAGCTAGAGAAGCAGGCCAAGAAGGCCGAGAAGGACTTCAAGGCTGAAAAGATCAACATAAAGCAGGTGAGCTGCTGCCTCGCCCCACCCTGGGACATGGCTTCTGGGGGATATTCCCTAGGTTGGTTTGCTACCCATCCTGTGGCCGTGGCTCCGGGAGACTGACCCTGCCCATGTGCCTGACCTTGCAAGGCTCTCTAGGGCTCAGCTCCGTTCTTTGTTTCTTTGTTCTGTGCAGGCGGGATGCCCACTAAGCCCTCCATCCCTTTCCTCCCTTCACCACAGTGCCTGAGGGTCCCGTCTGGGTGGAGGCCAGAGATGGATGCTCCAGGCTATGGTCACCTGGCTGATGCCTCACCTCCAAGTAGGGATGGAGTGGACCAGGGGGCTCCAGGCTGACCCTGTGCCATCTTCAAATGTGATGGGTAGCGCTCATCCAGTGGGTTCCAGGTGTAGCTCCATGGAGTGATGGGACTGTCAAAAAGCTAGAGACAGAAAGATGGGACAGGGGCAGGTGCTGTTTGTGGGCAGCTGACCTAGGTTCCTCCTAGACTGATGTGGTCCCCTAAGCATTACCAGGTGTCCTCTCTGAGCACTGCCTGGTATGGCCCAGAAAACAAAATAGACAAAACCCAGAACCTGAGGCGTGGTGCCTTATATGAGGCCACCCGGATTTACTGTCTGATCTCTCTGTGGACTGGGCTCTGGTTGCAGGTGTTGAGCTAGACGTGTTTGTAAGAGTGGAATTGGTGGGAGGGCAGCTGCACTATCAGACAGCACCCAGGAAAAGCCAGGTCTCACCCGACTAGGACCTTGGCTGCCCTCCCCACTGCTGCTCCCTGTCTCAGGCCCTGAAGGAGGAGAATGGCGAGTCTGTGCGATTGTATGCCGAGAATGCCATCCGCATGAAGAACAAATGGTCGAAATTGAACCACTGGGTATTCCGGGCGAACATTATGATATGCAAAGCTAACACAGATGGGATCGTGCAGTGGGTGAGTGCCCCTTGCAGGGTCAGCGGGACCCTTTGGCTCGAGTGTGGTGTTCCTGCTGGTTCAGGGCACAGCCCTTGCCAGGGACGGCTTCCCCATCCATGAAGGTTGGCCTGCCTGGGGAAAACCTAGCCGGCTGGCATCACTGATATGCTTTGCGGGTATCCTGGAATATGCAACAGATATACAAAGAACTGAAGACGGCCCTGCGTGCCAGTAACCAGCAAAAGGTCTCTGCGATGATGAACAGGCTTGAACAGCTGGCGCAGAACTTGGATATGCACATGTGGGTATGTCCACTGCACACCTCGAGGGGCCAGGACGAGGGGAGGGGAGGGGCCCAGACCCAAGAGCCCTGGCCATAGTGGCTCAGCCTGTGGCTTGCACAGGCGATGGAAGACTCACTGAGCTCGGCCACCACACTGACTACGGACCAGGAGCAAGTGGAAAGGTTCCTTCAGGAGATCGCTGAGGAGATTGAACTCGAGGAGGACCGCGACCAGCTGAGCCAGCTGCCCAAGTTTCCCTCCCTCGTGGGCGAGAGCTCCAAGGGCATCGGGCAGGACTAGCTGCGAGGTTAGCCCATGTGCAGGGTCGGCTGCCGGGGTGAAGGGTGTCCTGCAAGCTGCTCATGAACTTCCATCCACACTGCACCTCTGCCGTGAGGGGTGGGCGGGAGTGGCAGTTTCAGGCCTGACCAGTATGTGGCTTGGGTGGCCTTGGTCCAGCCTTTCCCTGAGGGGCTCTGTGGTATCCTGCAGGCTGGCCGCTCTGAGGAACTAGGCCGCCGTCCTCCTGGAGGGGAGGAGGGCGGCCGCCCCTGCCTTCCTGCTGACCATGGCCTCGCTGTTCTCCGCCCACTTGCCACATGGAGCCCTGCTTGTGCCCACAGTGGGCACCTGTCTCTGTGACTACTTCTGATGTCTCTGTAATTCCCATGTCAGGAGCAATAGACATATTGTTCCTGACGACCTGCCCGTCTTCCGTTTGGTGACTTGGATCGGCGTGTCTGTGGGACTGGGGTGTGAGGGTAGAGCCGCCCTCAAGGTGCAATTCAAACTGCAGGAGCATTCAAATGGATTTCCAATTCAGTGGCACAGCTCCTGTTCCCGGGACTGTCACCCTCTGGGCAGTGCTCCCTACCCTCCGAGCCACGGGCTGGGGTCTGGTGGCAGCAGTGCTGCTGTGTCTGCTCCTGTGTACTCACCAGGCCTGTTCCAGGCCACACACCTGACAACCTTCATACATTCTGTCAGTGGGCACTGCTGCTAGGTCACTCTGGTTCATCTGCTTCCACACTTATAGCTTGTGCCCATAACAAGACCTGGGCAGTTCAAACCGTGAGTGTGTATGTGTGTGTCGACTCTGGGACCCACCCTGTATGACCCACGTGTGCATGCCAGTTCGTTCAGAGCCATGTAAGTCTCAGGAAGCCCAGTCATAAAATCAGAGGTGCTACCAGCACAGCACACTGGGGGACCCTGCCAGCCACCCAAAGTGGCTGTGGGAAAGACTGAGGTGGCCGGCCAGAGTGATTGTATAGCAGGGAGTGTGTTTGCCTTGCACGTGGCCGACCTGCTTTATGTCCCCTATAAGCCCCCTTTTTTTTCCGGGGAACAACTGTTCCCCGAGCACCGTCAGGAGTGATTCCTGAGTGCAGAGCCCGTAGCACCCCCTGAGCATTGCCCAGTGTGGCTCAAAATATAAGACCCAAACAAAGATTTAGTGGATATGAAGCTGGGGATGGGAGCTTATTAATGCCAGAGCTGTAGTACAACAAGTAGGGTGCTTGCTCTCCCCGCAGCCGACCCGAGATTGATTCCCAACCTTGTGAGGCTAAGGAGAGCCATGACAGGATTCACTTTAAGACCGAAACTCAGCAGGCCGAAGTCTCAGTTTCCATCAGAAATTTCCAACTTCTCAGAAAACAATATCACTCTGGGCAGATAAACTACCCCTGTGACAGCAGCCAATCAGAGTAGGCGGCATGGGCCGTGGTTCCCAGCCAAGCAGAGAGGGCCGAGGAAGTGGAGTCATGGGACGGACAGGGACCCAAACACTGGGAACATAATGCTGGTCCCTGAAGTCTTGGATTTAGGACAGGGACCAGAATTGGAAACATACTGCCAGTTCCTAGGAAAAAAAATGGTGCTATGTAACCAAACCCTATATAATCTGCTCTGAAGTCAGAGTCGGGGTCCTTGTCAAGATTCCACTGTGTTGGATGAAACTGGACCCTAGCTCGAGTTAGCGATAAAGGGGCCTTGTACTTGCAGCCTGTGTCTGATCTGGTCAATGTGCGAGTGAAACTCCCTCCGGGACATAACAAGCATTACGTATGGTACCCCAAGCACTCCCAGGAATTGAATCCCGAGTGCAGAGTCAAATGGAACCTCTGCCACTCCCGGGTGTGATCCCAAAACAATAAAAAGACAACAGAAATGCCAAAGGCAACTCTCCCTGAGGGGGTCATGCTGATCCCGACCCTCTGGAGGGCAAGGCTGGCTGGCTGTGTGAGCCAAGACTCTCATCTCCATCGCTGTTGGCTCTCTCATAAAGGGAACCAGTATGAGACGGCACGCGCGCACGCATGTGTGTGTGTGGATGCATGCATGTGTAAGCTGTGTGCATGTGCAGATGTGTGAGTGGGGTGATATGTATGTGCACTAGTGGGTGTACATGGGCAGCTATCCTGTGAACACATGTGCACATGTGATGTGCTCATGAATACCCTTGTGGAGTCAGACTGAGGTGGAGCTGAGTGCTTGAACGTGTGGAATCATGTGCATGTGAATATATGTGTGTAGGGAGTATGTGTCTGGGCACATGTGTACATACACTATATTGTCCATTTACGTATGAATACAGGTGTGCATGGGTTGAGCATTGTGTGTGCATGTGTGAATACATGAGTGCTGGCATATATGTGTATGTTGAAAGAGGCAGCAGAGCCAGGACTTGTGTGTGAAGACCCTCCTCCATGTTCCCAGGAAGGCCCTCCTCAAGAGTTGGGCTCCTGCCTGCGCTGCAGTGTCAGGTGTGCTTATGTCTGGTGTTAGCCCCGCCTGCCCGCTGGGTCTTGGGGACCCCTCCAGGGCCAGGCTGACCACACACTGCTGCAGACTTGAGAGGGTCTGGATTCTGAGTCCACGATGTGCCCCTGGTGAGGGGTGAGGGAAGCCCTCCACATCGCAGCAGACACAGGCTGAGCAGGAGGGGCACGAGAGAGGTCGCAGGGTCCCTGCCGGGTGGTCGAAATAGGGCGCAGCTGAGTGGCTGTAGTTGGTCCTGCAGGGAGCCTCCAGCTGTACTAGGGCGATGGGCTCCTCCTGGGGGGGCTGCGAGTGGTTGCTTGCCTGTGGACCAGGAGAGGTTGCGGCAGCTGCTGTGATGGCCAGGTGGTGTGTGGGTGCTGCTGTTCTCACGTGATCTACATCCCGGAAGACCCTGGAAAGGTTCTCTGCCAGGGCACCCCGCACCTCTGCTTCCGTTCACTGTTTCGGAGCAGGTAGGCGATCAGGTCTGGGCACTTGGGCATGTCAAGGCCCACGGGCAGCTTGAGATGGGCCAGAAATCCAGGCTCTGCTTCCGCAGGGGGTTGAGGACGCACCTGGGACCGCAGAAACCTCACCTAACGCGGAGGGGAGGGGTGCAACCCTTCCAGCCCCTCCCCTTACCTGGAAACCCTGTCAAAGTCCCCACAGAAGCCCACAGCCCAGCTCCAGCCACGTTCTTGATGTGGTCCAGGTGTTCTGTGGGGAAGCAGCCATGGTAGCCACGTTGGGGGGTGGGGTTTGGGGGGTGCAAGGGAAGCTCAAGACAGAGGCACGGGCACTCTACCCACCAGCCTCCTGGGAAAGTTGGCGTCCCTTCGGCAGAACATGTAATCATCGTAGAAGTTTACCTTGACCCGGCTGCGCTCTGCTTCTGCTCAGGAGGGAACCGTGAGGACCCACCGACATGGGTGGGGGAGGGCAGCAGGGGACACCTGGTGCCCCCAGGACCCTCCCCACCATCTGCAGCACGCTGTCCAGCACGTTGCGATGGTGGGCACACAGAGAGAAGACTGAGAGTGTTTGAAGATGACCGGGGTTCTGGGTCGCTCCAAGGCAGCCTGCATGGTAACTAGGACACATGGGCCAGGAGCACGATGACGCTCAGCCTGTGGCATTGTGCGGACCTAGCTGCTAAAGCCCCAGAATAATGAAAACTGGGTACAGTGTTGGCTCAAGGATTTTTGATGAGCTGTGGGACCACACCCCGTGATGCTCAGAGACCACCAGGTCACCCTCTGGGTGGTGGAGGGAACTGAATTCGGGACATTGCACATGCAAGGCTGTGCTCTACCATGTGAGCCTGGTCATAATTCCTGTAGTTCTGATTGTGTGTGTGTGTCTGTGTGTGTGTGTGCGCGCACGACCAAAGACGGTTATCTAATTTGGGGGGAACCTGTGACTGTGAGGTCAGATGGCTGTGCTGTGTCAGCTGGTCTGGGGCAGAGGAGGCCCGCCAGCGGGCAGGGGGCTGCCCTGGCCGGTGCAGCCTCGCATCCTGTGAAATAGGAAGTGAGAGCAGAACCAGGAGGAGAAACGGATAAGACAGCTCTGGAAGGACCCAGCTCATGGGATCAGGGTGTGTGGGAGCACCTGTGGGATCAGCCTGCAGGTCTGGGCGAGTTACCTAGGGAAGAGATGATGGCGGGGGCGGGGGGGGGGGGGGGTTGTGTGCGAATATTCGTTCAGTCACAAGGAACGCAAGAGAAATTATTTTCACGGAGGATCACCAGGTCTGCCCAGACCCTGTGACAAAGGTAGAGCATCCTGAGAGCTCCTTCTTTCATTACCACCCTACCCCACACACCTCTAAAAGAAACAAAGACGTTACAGGAAGAACATTGAGGCATACATTGTTATGTCCCCAAGCCAGTTAGTTTCATCTGCACCTCAAACCCCCAAGGAAAGAAATGCACAGCCAAGAGCATTCCAGGGGCCACAAGTACCTGAGTTTGCATATCAAAGATAAGCTGTGGGCTTCTGTGAGAAGAGGAAGACTGACTGTTTTGGTTTACTAGGATTTTGGTTATTTCCTGAAGGCAGCTTAAAGAAAAAGAGATGTTCAGCCTCAATCAAACCAGTCTGGACACACAAGTAATCTTGCCCATTTCCATGGGTCCCTGTGTTCCTGGCCATGTGCATCTCAGTCTTCACGGGCTGATCCTGACCATCTTGTCTGGCCCCAACATGGTAGACCTTGTCAGACAGAGTTGGATAGATTTGCTCCTAAAAAATTGGGGCTGCTTGTGCAGGTGAATAGTCCATCTGAAGTTTCTTTAGCTTTTTTTCCCCCCTAATTTGTGCTGCACCTGGAAGTAATGGGGATTGTTCCTGGGAACTGTGGAATAACTGGGGTTGTATGCATGCAAGGCAAGTGCCTTACCCCGTATTCTCTCATCCTCTCCATTTGAAAGTTGAATTTTCTTAGTTTAGAACTTCCTTTGTGAACCGTGCTAAAACTCAAAATGTATAGCCCCTCTCTCCTCCCAGTGCTTAGGACATACTCCTGGTAGGAC